TGCCAACTTCATTGAAATTGGGGTTTATATTTTTTAAATTCAACATTTTTTCCCCTCAAACTGTTTCATAATCCTCATCGGGTGTTAAGTAGAAATTAGACAAGTTATTTTAAAATAAAACATGCCAAAAGGTGAGAAAATATTCACATTATTATTATGATTATTGTTATTATTATTATTATTATTATTATTACTATTTTTATTTGATATAAAATGTATTCTTCCCACAGAGACACTCCAACGCCTCACAGTCACTGTGTGAGATCATCAGACTGAGCCGAGACCAGATGTTCCAGGTTCAGGGATGCCCACAGCCAGACCCATTACTGGCTACACTTGAAAAGTAGGTTTTTCTCATAAATACAGTGCTCCGCAAATGTATTAGATCAATGACACTTGGTCTCGTCAACCAAAAAGAGAAGCCGTTAGTAATCTTAGTGAAATTACATCAAGTACAGTCATGGGCGAAAACATGGGCGCCCCTTTGCTTCTGTCAGACCAGTTCTCCCGAGAAATTGTCTCCATTCCAAATGATTTGCTCTTCACATGTTAAGGGATTTTGTTTGGAGGCTGAAAAAAAAAGCCAAATCTAACCACAGAACTCCAAAAATTGACTAGACAACACTATTGGGTAAAAAATGGTTAAAATAAAACCCCCAAAACATTAAATTGAATTTCAAATATCCTGGACTCCTTTAAATTGTAATGAAACTCACCTGTGGCAAGTCATTTAAAAATCACACTCGGAGCCAGTTAAAATGGGAAAAGGGTGGCTCAGCTTTTGTCTTGTGTCTCCTTCTGGGAGAATGTCCTGTGGACAGATGAGAGCACAGTGACCCAAAGTACACTTAAAAAAAGCACCCAAAGTGCCCTCAGAAAAAGCGCTGGAGAGTTCAATATGAATCCCAGAGAGGATTTGTGGAGAGATTTCAAAACAGCAATTGGGAAGAGGTGCCCTTAAAATCTAAGGGCAAACAAAAAAGATAGTGGGTTTCCGGTAACATGAAATTTCAGCATAGGGTCGGTAGGTCGGACAAAGTTTTTTTTTTTTAATCTTTTTTTTTTTTCCCCCATCAAAAATTTAAACAAAATAACCATAAAACATAAAACAAGAAGACATTGAACACGCCGC